AAACCTAAGAATGTGATTCTGCTCTTGAGACGTGATTATTGATTGTGTCTGGGAAATATATAGCTAGATGATGTGACCCCTAGGTGCTTCCTCCCACATAGCATTTCATACATAGTGGCAGCATATCCTTCAGTTGTCTGCTTTCACTTAAAGCATGGTTAGCTGGGCCAGTTTGTCTTTGCCAACAGTGTTCTCAACACAGTCTATAATAGCTGGATTTAGTCTATTGGTGCCAAGTCCAACTCTGGTCACTTCTCCTTTGCTACCCCTCCCTGACCAGACTCATTATTGAGGTCACTCAGAGATCTGGCAGGTTTCCTCTGCTGCGATGGCAGAGTACTGTTCTGCTCAAGCCACGGATATCCTGAGGAAGCTCTCTAAAAGACTGAGTTGTGCCCCCTGGCCTTACCCTCCTTAACAGTCTTCCTCTACTGGCCTGAAGGCCAACTTTTAGTCAGATGTCTCCTGGTTTGGGGATTTGTTTCGTGCTCACCTGCAGCACTTTTAACATTTTTAAGAATTGCAGCCGGCTGATGCAACACCCAGTGATGTTTTTATCAAATAGTCTTTTTGTCAAATGTATATTTTGTGTTATACTGTTAACAGATGGCATGTTCTCTTTCATGTTATTTGTTACCAATAGGATGGTATTAATCCAGAGAAGCAGGGCGGGATTAGTTTATGGAGGCGTTTGAGGAACTACGTAGATTGATGGATGTAGTAACAACTGGCTAATTTATCTTATGATGTTTGGACTATTGGAGAGGTGATGTATTGTTATTGTTGGTGACTCAAGAGATTCACTTATAAAAACATTAGTACAGCGCACCACAGTGCAACCCAGCTGGCAGCCGTTTCAGTCTGCCAGTCCTGTTCTGAGTTTGCTTAGCAAGTGAAAGTGATCATGCTGCTAACCTTCTAGCATTACATCAGACGGCTCTTTTGTCATCCATTGTCATTGTTCTCGAACACACAAAATGGGTAGTCACAAGGGCGTGATTGTAACAATAGTTAATACCATCTACACTTCTATTCAGCCCATGTAAAACTAAACACCGGTATGATAAATGGAGGAATTTGACGTTAAAGGTTGAAACAGAACAAAAATATTTGATTTTTTTTTACGTATTATACTGGCTTTTCTTCAGCTAATAAACAAGCAAGCTTTTGTTTAGATATTCTGTAACATGATGTGAGGAAGATAAACTGAGTGAAGCTCCAGCCTTAGCAGATATTCTTCTCATGTCACCGAATTACCAAGAAAGCGCTTTTGAGCAGATGTTCCCAAGGTTGCAAGTTATCAGAGCCTTACATGCTAGCTGTGTGAATTACCTTCATTGGGTGCCTTTCGCATAGTTTTGACTTTTCCCCCTTAAAGAAACTGTCACTTCAACAGTGAACTGCCTCTTTTGAAAGGACTGAACAGCCCTTTATGTAGTCCGTCATATGAAACGCTCAAGCAAAAGTGTTAAATCCTGGGGAATTTTCTCTCCAGATTTATATCATATTTAAGTTAAAATACTATATTTAATATGTGCTCAATGTTGGTTGAGTATAAAGCACTTACTTGGTTTCATTTTCATAATGTAACAGTGGGGGTGCATGTCAATATATATATTGTAATTATATTGCTTTATTTTTTTTGGCAATAAATTCATGATTTAAAAAAAGAGCCTGAAATGGAAGCTGCTGAAGTTTAGCGCACAGACATGCCTCACGATTAAAGTGATGCTTCTCCAAATTGACTTCTGAATGTCTGTAGAGGAACCCTGTGTCAGTAAGAATGCAAGGAATTCCATGGCCAATTGACCCAAGGCTACTAAACCTTCATGCTGTTTCCCTTCTCTGTGCAACCTTTGCATAAAAAGCATATGCATGTGTATCTTTACTTTTGAGTATCTAAAATAAAGCAGATTATACGTGATTTGTGTAGAAAGACATATTGACTTCATTTTTATTTCTGCCATAGATGTAAATCATGTCTTTTGAAGCAATTGTAAAGGAACTTTATGTACCGCAAATCATTCAGTATTAATAAGCGCTGTTAATTTCTATTTTGATGGTGGCGCAACATGTCAGCCATTAATTTGCAGTGGGCTTCACACAAACGAGTGATTCGTTAATTTCGTTAGTTTTTTTAAACAAAACGGAAATTTTTCATCTTGAAATTCGAAGTACCCATCTTAATGGAATGATGAGCTTTTGTGACACTTGCACACTCTTTACTCTGATTTCATACAAACGACCTCACCCATTCTTGCTTGGGTGGAGTTTTTGGTACGACTATTGTTGCTATTGTTCAAGTTTAAATGGGGAGTTGGCCTCCTTCACATCGAGGGTGGAGTAGCTATTACATCACGTGCATCGGCACACAGTCATGAAACTAGATGTGTTTGTAGTTCTATATGTGCGCATGTAAAGTGGCTTCGGAGTAAAAGTTTTACAGTAAGGATCTTTTGAGACTTATTGCCAACAGAGCCTGTTTTGTTTTAGGTTACATAATGACGTATGCATTAGAGTCTCTTAACAAATGAAGGATCTCTGTTATCAGATTACAGCTGTTTTATTCTCTTCTCACCAAACAGCTGCCCTGGTTTGTAGTCCACAGACTATCCCTTTTCCAGCGTCAATGCCTACCCTCCTGCCCAATTTCCAAACAATACCACCACATTTTCACTTCCACTTTGACAGATTTACTCTAAAATGTGGACAAAGCACTTGTTCGTGCGATGACTTGACCAATCAGTCATTATGAGAAAACAGCTGGTTTACCTTTTCTTAAGGCTGTGATTCACCCAAAAGCATCTGGAGTCATTATACAACAGAACATGTGAATGTGTGACTGTACAAAGTGACGGTGGAAGTGAAGGCCCGAGGTTCAGCTGTGTCGAGCGCCTGTGAGGTAATCCCACTGGAGAATCAGAGGAATCTCAGTCATCTCTGCACACACACGGGGGTGGGGGGCTGTTTTAGCAGTCTATCTGAAAACATCAAAATATATGCAGCTTTACCTGTCCACAGCTGAGAGAGAGTACTGCAAGTGGAGACAAAAGACTTCAAAACGTAAATAATTCTTCTGCAAAAAAAAAGAAAGAAAAATCCATCACTGTTTAAAAAAAAAATTGGAGTCGTCGTCTAAAAAAATTATTTGTGCAACTTTAAAACGGGCATTAGTCTTTCTATTTGGATGTTGCAAATATATGTGCACAGTCTTGATGTCTGATTGTAACATTTTGGGATTCTCTAATGAGTGTGCGCTTTCAGTCAATGTGAGGAATGAAGGCGAAAACATGTGTCTGCTCGGGGAGTGTTTCCACTGGGATTCACAGTCGGCTCAAACCACATGTCTGGCCAAAACAGGATTTCTCAAGAAAAGATGCTGGGAGGACAGATCACAGCAAGCCAAAGTGTGCATTTGAGACGAAGCAATTGTGTGTTTGTTTTTTTTGTTGTTGTTTTATTTTCAGCAATGTGCTCATCTTACAATTAATAAATCGTAACTCGGTCTCACCGAGCTGTGTTTGTGATTGGCTTAACTCAGTTTGTTTTGGTCTGATGCTTTTGAAATCCCCAGCATGCAATGTGTGCACATACTAATGTGTGTTCTCCCCGACTAGACACCAAGGTCTGAAGAAGGCCCTATACTCCTGTGTGTGTATGCACGGGTGTGCGTGTGACACCTTACTCACAGTGATCCATTCATTTGTGGCCTGGCACCCAGATAGGGAGTCCAGTTGAGAAAGACAGAGACTGAGGGAGACTGTTTGGACCCTGCACAGTGACTCAATGCTAGCTGTCTGCCTGGCACAGATTAGATCAACACTGATGAATATTCAACTGTGGGCCATCGCTGCCAGAATGGCCTAGATTTTAACCAAGGCAAGACGCAGGAGATGAGCTTCTCTCCCACAAAAGTTATACAAAAGTTGCTTTATGTCCTGCAAAGAAATATCAATGACTTAATTCAAGAAAGTAATTAATATTTAAGTGCTTTTTTTCTTCCTTTTTTTTTTAAGCCTTGAGAAAATAATTAAGATATTCTAAATCTTAAAGGTGGGCCGACATAAACATAAGTCAACCTAATTAACTTCATAGATTGCTTTATAACCGGTCCCTTTATGTTGACAGTTTGTGTTCAGCCACGCATTTCAATAAAACCTGAATTTAAAATGTGCTCGACTACCTCATAGTGTTATCTTCTTTTTGGTAAGCTCTTTAATGTTTGGAGCAGAACTTCCTCCATTATTCCTAAACAGATCTTCCTCACAAAGGCAGGAACTGTGCTGATGTAAACTGAAGCTTGCCGGAAAAAGTGTGTTTGGGTTGGAGCTTGGTGAATGTCTGAGGAGGTAAAGGGCATCTTGAAATAAAGACAAAAACCCAGGAACAAACCAAGGCCTGCCAGTGACACTGAATGGAACCTGATAAGAATGAATAAATGGGCCTAAAGCCCTTTTACCGGGGGTATTTTTAGGTTTTTTTTGTTTGTGTGGCGTAGTTGGCCACATAGGTGACGCAGCGTGATCTCAGTTTGAACGGTAGTTGACACTTTGAAATTAGTGGCATCGCCAAGAAGACTGCATATAAAGAATAATATTGTTTCTACTTACCCAAGAAAATATTTAGTTTATCCAAAACTGCGTAGGAGTGAGAGGGAATGTCTGTGTTAGGCATACAAAAATGCATCCTAGTTAACTTCTATTTGCCACTAATTGTAAGTGTACGTTACATTGCTTATACAAAGTTTTGAGGGGATGTGGATGTCACACCGTGTGCTAACTCGTTTAGGCTTTTTCCTTTTCCTGCAGTACTGGTGGAATATTGTGAAGTGCAGCTATATGAAAGCGTGTAAAGGAAAGACCAAGTGCAGAAAGTAAATCAAAACAAAGCAGTTGAGTGTTCATAATTCATGCAAAGAGTTTTTCCAGTGGGAGCATTGTCAGCGAAATTATCAGTGGTTGTAGTATTCTGGCTAAAACTATGCCCATTCTTCTCCTCAGGATGGTTCTCTGGGCAACATAGATGACCTTGCACAGGAATACTCTGAGTACTACAACACCTGCTTTAGTGACGTCAACGACCGCATGGAGGAGCTACGCAAACGACGAGTCTCCCAGGAACTCGACATGGTAAATACACGCTCACCCATGTAATTACCTCGCCTAATGAAATCATGTGAACGGCTATTCATGCACAGCATTTTCTTTGCCTCGCCTCTGAACTTGCATGCTTGATTTTTTTTTTTACGCTCTTTACTAACTGCCAGACGAAGAATAGCAGAGACTGAACAAACAAGATGAATTTGTGTTAATGTCCAAGTCTTTCCCCGAGGCCAGTGTGCCTGAACACCACTACAAGTCCTTTTCAGAGAGATGTAGGATACTAAGACACTTCATTGGTTGCCAAGTTGCAAGTAAATCTATGATGGAATGCTGCTGGTGCTGCTGTAGAGGGCCTAGCTTTGTGCAGCGTGCAACCCAGTGGGTCCACATGCTTGCAAGAGCTAGTATATGATCAATTCAGTAAGTCCCTGTAAATAGAACTTGGGCAAATAAATTCTCAAACACACACAAAAACAAATGGTCAATTCTGTTTTTCTGCTAAGCTAGCTGCCGCTCTCCACCACGTTTGCTAGAAAGTCAGACATAGTAGTGTTATTGCCCGATAAAACAATGATTCAGCTCTCCATCCACATACTTTGCACACATTGTTGTCACGTTAGACTTTCTTATTTTAGACCTTGTACCAATTGTCTCCCCATTTTTCCGCATGTTTTTCTGTCATCACATGTTTCCAGTTTAATAGGCGGCCCCTCTTGCTCCAAGGCGACCATGTGGCTCAGCTTGCATTGAAAGGCACAGCTGATTTATTGTGCTGTGCATTTAATGATTTCAGACATCCAGTTGTCACCGCTTTCATGATAGACTCTAAATGCATTTTGCATCTTATTATAGATTAAGTGCTGTCTCTTTGGCTGCAGACTTTGATCTGTGCTTACCTTTCGGGCATTCTTTTGTTAGTTTTGAAGGGAAGCTCTTTCTTAAAACAGGGGAAAAGGAAGCTGTGAAGGCTCAGGGGAGGGGTTGGGGGTTGTGCTGAGTGGGACCTGAGCCTGAAGCCCAGTGCAAGAGGAGGCTAACGACATGAATAGTGGAAGAATGAGAAGGAAGGAGGATGAGGGGAATGAAGAGGAGGAGTGGAGTATGTGAGAGCCTGCAGCTGTCCTGCCACTCTGCAGAGTTTGGCAGCAAAATATAGAAGAAAAGAAGAAAAATACATGGAGGAGGGGATATAGGTCAGACAACACCTTATCAAGAGCTCTCAAATGTGCAGTATCAACCCACACTATATGGATTTAACCTTGCCTTGCGTTTGAGTGCAGGCCTTTTTCTAAAATTAGTTTTGGGTGCTGTTCAAGTCCAGAACAGTCTTTTCTTTACCAACCCTTCTAGGATGCAACGGATTAAGACAAACTTTTCTTCTCTTAGACAATATTGTTAAGAGGCATTGTGAAAGTAATACACAAGGCGTGTACCGAGACAGAGCACAGGACACTAAATGAACTGAGAATGAGCTTAGATAGAGCAACGGACACCCAGTCAGAAAGAGAGTAACAAAATGACTGTTACAGCTTTTGAAGTGTGTCCAGAAGTCAGTGGCTGCAAGCCAGCGTCATGCAGTCGTCACCCCTGGGACCAGTGCCAGATGGTTAGGCAAGGTCATAAGAGCCACATTAATAGAGACAGATTTTATTAGTGGAGGTGGATGGTAAAGCAGACAGGACTCCATAAGGCTCACCTCTCTTTAGCCATTGTATTAATTTGATAATGTCAGATTTATAGATCAGTTATTGATTTAAATTATTATTTTTACTAGTAGGTAACTTGTTTTGTCAGATCTCTCCTACTATATGCTTTTCAGTTCAGATCTGATCTATGTAGTAGAGATTTTAGGGTAAAGCTTTGACCTTTCTTGGTTTGCAATGCTGTACTAGAGAAGGCTGAAGTTGAGATAAATGTGGTATCGGAGAAGACGCCATGAAAGCTGTCTGGTTGCCAGTAAATCTGTGATGGAAGTCCTCATACTCCAGGTTAAATATAACTTGAGGAAAACACTGACTGGATATTTGCTACTGGAAAATTCCCATGCGAAAGCCCCACTGTCTAAAGTTTTGTTGTGGTCAACATTGTAACACCAAAAAGTAAGAAGGCGGCCTTTTTAAGTTTCTGTTCTCCAAAGCATTCTCAACTTGACTCTTGGTACGGCAAGTTTGCTCATGATGGGAACCATTCAGCTTCTCTTTCGGGGTTTTGGGGGTTTTTGGTTTTTTCGGGCTCTTTTCCTTAAAGTAACGAGAAATGTAACATTTGGATTTTTTTTCCACTTGCACAATATTATTAGCCTGCTCTTGCATTGTGCCCCTTTTAACACAGTGATGGCTGTCTGTGTTGTTGCAAAGCAAGGAGCTCTCTCTATTAAGAGTTGATGACGGAAGCTCTCTCTTAGATGGCTATCGATGCACCTCCTTTCTGCGTGGCTTCCTCTCAGTTGTTTCTGTGACTCTATGGTAGTTTTATGAATTAGTGGGATACAAAGGGTTAAATAAACATCCTCTTTGGGAATGTGGATATGGATTAGCACGACGGCCTCGCAGTTTCCCAGCGCTCTTATACATTAGCGTTCGGACGCTGCGTGAGGATTTTTATTATTGGAGTGACAGGAAATGCTGGAAAAGAGCAATATATTCAGCTGTTTTAATAAAGTGTGTTGTCTCTAATAACGGGTCAGTAAAAGGTCAGGTCAGAAGGATAAAGAATTTTTTTTTTTTCGCCCGGGATTCAGTTACAAACATTTTTGTCTTCCGTGTTCTAATTCTTAGCTAAATACAAAGGATTTAGTTATATTTTAGAATAAAGTAGATGCATTTGACCGTCCTAATGTACCTTACATCTGTAACCATAAACATGATTTGTTTTTCAAAATAGAAGGTGCTTTATAGTAGTTTATTTTTACGATAATTTTAAAAAGTGAGTTTTAAATTTCAGGATGGCAACGAAAAAGTGCTTGGCCCAATGTTGAAAACAGTGATGTTGGTTGCTATGGTAGAGGCTACCTCAAATAAAAAACAAAACAATGATTGGCAGCCCACAGATTCAGGAAATGATCCCAATTTTGGTTAGTAACACAATTCAATCACTGGTTTGCAGATCTGTTTTAGATGTAGACAGATTCTTAAAAGGCACCAAGGCAGAAGTTTGTAAAGGTTTTAACCAGTGGCTTTGAAGTAGCATAAATTATCATTGCATATTATCATTGCTAACAACTGCAATATATGACATTCTTCGGTTTCTGAAGCGGATGAGGATCGTTTTAAGTACTGCTCCATAGAAGTCATCTGAAGTTGAAGTAAATACATTTAGTTAACTTTTGTCTTTTTCTTCTTTTGTTTCTTCAACATCAAGGCAGTTGGAAAAGTTATTCAAGCTGTCTCCATTAGCAGACACAAAGTCACGCTACAGTTATGTCAGTGCAAATTTAGTTTAATTCAAAGGGAAGAAAAAAAAGTGCCAAAACGCAGAAATAAAACACCAGAGGAGGGATCCCTTAAACATGCAGGGACTGGTTGTTGGATGACTAATCTTGTCTGGCCAAGGGAGAGAAATACCAAACTCTATTTTGACATCACTTTCTAACCATAGCACAATAGTACAAATGAAGTACGCTAAATATAAATCAAGAGAGCTCATTTTGGCGTTTGTGGTTGTTGGGCAAACATTTTAACACTTGCTGTTAACCATAATGAGACATTGCACTGCTGTGTGTGGTAATATCTTTGAGGATAATTTTAGATAAGTGCATAAACAAAGCATCCTATCAATCATAAATCTGTTCATTGTAACCTGCTAACTCAAGGAAGGCGTTTTATTTGTTTTATACCTGAATTGCCTGACAGCCGTGGGTCAAGACTCAGGCACGGACTTGTGTTTTGTTTTACCGTGAGACGAGGAACCGTGTGGTTAATGCCCACATGAAGTTAAACCATCAAAGTGCGTCAGTTCAGCTGGGTTAAAACTACAGTGTAGAGGAAAGACAAACCGTGTTGTGAACTCTGCTGCTTATTTATCCTTTCTACTCTCAGATTTTTGCCTAGAAACATAGCAAAGTCAAACACGCTCAAACAGCAGAGACTTTGTTGCTGTAAGATTGCTTTCAAAGGACGTTCGTGCCGCTGTGTTTTTTTTATTATTGGCAAAACCCTTGTGGAAAGCAAGTGGTATATTTAAATGCATTTTGTGATTCATTTGTCACTAATGGGACATCGGTTGTAATAACTTTGGTATTTGTTTTGAAATACCAAAGCTGAGGAGGATTCTCAAAGCTGAGGAATGCTCCACGCGCTATAAAAGAACGCAGCCCTGTGTGGCGAGCACGTACACACACTCTCCCAGACGTCCTTGAAAGGAAGAGGATGGAGATGTTGGTGTGCTAATGTATTTCTCGTAAAAACATTTAGGCAAGCGGCAGCTTGATTGGTGTGGCGTGGTTGAATTTCAGAAAACGTGTGTGTGTGTGGATTTTCCAGAACAGCCAGTCCCGCAGGCTTGTACTAGTTCCACCTCTAACGTCTTTTTCAGGGATTGCAGTAGGTACCTGTTCCACTACATATCTTTCTACAGGGCTACTTACAGTTGCCCACCCAGGTTCACTCGGCCATGCCAGCTGGCCTACCTCCACTACGCCACCTGGTCTTTTTGCTACACATACACCTTTTTTTCCATCTGAGGTTGGGAGTAATTTTGGTGAAGTAAAAGTGACTTCAACAGGCTTTTGCAGTGAATGGAATATGTGTTTAGCACTCATCTGTATTTTGAAGCTTTCCCTTTAATTAAAAAAAAAAAAATATCTGGATCTCCTGTTGCGAAGCTAAACTTTGTTGTAGTTTCCAGGTTAATGATGGAAAGCAATGTGGTTTTTGGAAGTTAAGTCACTTTTCAGTAGCGCTTGTGTGTTAGGGTTTAGTCGTTTCCGATGCCAGTTTCCCTGTGCTCAGACATCGTGATCCTCATTAGTCAGAGCTCTCCCTTCTTTCTCCCTTTCATTTTAACTTAATTCAGTCATGCTTAACCAATCTTTCTCCCATCACAATTGCACGCACATACACACAAAGAGAACCATGCACAAGCAACGCCTTTGGACATCAAAGGGGGAAAAAAAACGCATGCACGTTCACACGCTTACATGCCACTTTTAGGTAAGTAGGGCAGCATCTTAAGATTATTCTGCAAAGTTCGTGTAAAGGATAGCCTGCTCCCTCTGGGGGGGGATGCATTTTGGGATCTATGCTTTATACACACACACGCTCGTAGGCACCGCCTCAAACACAGATTGCCTTGATATTCTCTTTCAAGTAACCGTGTCAGCAAGTTATTCATCGTTTAACCGTGTGTCTGAGAGAAATGGAGGTTTACTTTTGGAACCATTTACTGTTTGTCTCATCACATCCTGCTCTGTGACAGGTTAATCCCACAGATCTCTAGCGGAGAGTGAACAACATGTAGGTTTTGTTTGTTTTTCACTCATCTTTTCAGCTTTTCACTCTCTTTCCATGTCAGAGATGGCACGCACAGACAGGAAATAAAGGGAAGCTGAGGATGAGTAGGAGGAACAGAGAGCCACATTGTGTCTTTTAGGTCTTTTAGTGGGTGTGAAAGTGGGGGCGAGATGTGTGAATGTGTGTAGATGTTCCTTGAACTGGGTTTATGTCTGTGGTGGAATGAATGTGGCGATGCCAGGGCCAATATCCAAGCAGTACAGAGACATTGTACATTAAATCATTTTTACAACGAGCTGGCATGGTGCTTACAGTTACCCACTGGTGAAACTGATATCTGTCCTGTAGCTGCTGTCCGGAGAAGCCGCAAAGAGGATCTGATAGCAAAACCAGCCAACCACTACCTTTTTGAAAGCGTTTGTGTACTGTGTGTTTGCATGGGAGTATACTCCTCGTTCACAGAGCCCCTCCCTCTTAACGTGGGTCCACAATATTCTGCACAATTCATTTGTTTAAATAGAGCTGCCAAAGTGGTGCTTGCTTAAGGGATGAATGTGTTGTGTCTGTCTCTCATAATCTCTGCCTTTGTAAGAAAAAAGACAAACAGACCTTTCCGAGATTTTCCTTACGTGCAGCTTGGTGACTGTAGAAACAAGTTTCCACGACTGTAGATGTGTACCTGCTCTTTGACTTATGGGAATCCCCATATTCCCTGGGATGTACAAATTAAATGGTCTTCCGACATGACTTGATTTACTTCACGAAGAAGCTTCCAGTCACATGTCTCTGTCTCGTTGATTGAAGTAACAGACAAATACACAAATGGCCAGTAGGACTTGTGTCTCGCTAAAATCCTTACAGCCACCTCTCAGTTGTGTGTGGTTATCGTGGGACTTGGGCTAATTTAGAGGCTTTAAGCCACTTTAGCACTTCAGGTCCTCTGCTCATTTGACTTGCAACTTACGGTTGTTCCAAAGTTCCAAAGAACGCTGAAAGGTAGTTATGTCACTCCTGACTAATACACTTGCTCATGCCTTACTCATGTTCATGGGGCAACAGCGTGGAAGGATTGCACTCCCCCAACCACTATATGAATATAAAAAGGTTAAACTGGAGGTCGTCCAGATTAGGAAGCGTGACTCTCTTAACTGTAGGAAACTGTCTGTATTACGCTTCCCGTGACTTCTGTCCTACAGCTTAATACCTGGGTGTGGAGATGCAGGATGATGATGCCAATTTCCTTTCCCGCTCTCCATTTCGGGGAAATTCTAGATTACATTTGTCTTTTGTTAATGGGCTTATAATAAAGAATTTTTTACTCATTGTAGAAGTCAAGACAGTCCAAGCAACCCTCAACAATCCCCTACGTCATGTTGGTTATCCTGCAGTGAGAGAGCCAGTGTAACGGAAAGCTTAGAGTTCTGTAGATAGACGGGGAAATAGTTTTTAATTTTAGATGTGTTAAGAAATCCTGGACAATTTCAATATAATAGGACAGACAAAATAACCAAAAATAAAAATGTAATATCAGCATTTACATCGGGACTTGTTTCCTGTAATTCTTCATGAACTGCTAAATAATAAAGGTCACACAGAAAGAAAGTGGAAGTGCGAACTTGCCTTAGATTTTGGTTTCTGTTCTTAGCTGGATCTGATAAATCTCATAAATGTTGCTGACAGTGACCCAAACCAAAGGGGTCTTCACGAGGGTCTTCACCTTTTTTGTAATTCGATGACCCATCTGGTTGAAGACCCCCAAACCCCAAGCCCTGCATACTCTGAATATTTATTAGTGCTTCATTAGTAGTTTTAACAATGTTATAATTGACATTTTCTTACATATGTTGCAAATTAAGGCAACTAATGGGGTCTTTTCCAGTCTTGCTTACTCACATGATAGAAGGGATGACAACAAATTAAGAGTGAAGTCACATAATGATAACTGTGCAACGAGTAGGGGTATGACCTTCAGCAAATAAGAGCTTTGTCCTGATGTTAACCTCAGATGTTGGGTCTTCAAGCCTGAGAGCCTTTGAAAAAATATGCTCACCAGCCTTAAGCAAGTTGTTGACTGTGTCTGTTTCTGTGCTGGTTAATGGCCTGAAGTTTAAAAACAGTGGTAGCACTGGGCAAGTCTGAGTATAGGGAGTCATGTTATCTCCTGCTTGACAGTTCAAAAGGATGCAAGAGCGCTGCCAGAACTATGTAGTCAGCCATTCCCTCAAGGAGTCTAATTGGCTACTAATACTCACACGTTGCAAGTTAAAATCTTGTTGCAGACTCGCTGTGATGGTATCTGCCTCAGTGTCTGTCTTTATTCAGCACTTTATTCAAGACACATCTGTATCTGGAGTTGTTATAAATGCACCTGCTTCAGACACATTCATTAGCTCCAGCCAAGTAGTGCAAACACACTGACAGCGAGTTTAAAAGCTGGAAAAACTTGGCAACATTTTGTGTATAAAGAGAGTTTAAAAATAAATGTGATTTATATTGTTTTCGTACAGTTGTAGTGAAAGCCACCGTTAAATTTACGAGCAAAGCTTAGCCAGGTCTGGATGTCTGTTTTGCATGTTTGCCTGTGCAGTTAGTCAAATATGGCACGTTGTATTCTAATGTTAGATAAGAGGCAAACTAGCAGGTGTTTGTCTTGAGTAGCAGAGTGAAGGGAGTTTACTGATGTAATTGTCATTACAAAATCAGATGCACGGAGCCAGTTTTGCAGGTGCCGAGTTACATTTCAGAACGTTTCACGCAGACTGGGGCGCCTGAAGCAAGTCATGACTTGCCTAGCAGCAGTTGTTGGTGTACACACACGTGCTTGTGTTTGTTTTGACGCCTTTTCAAGTATGTCTGACTCTGACAATAATAAATAAAAAAAAAAAAAAAAAAAAAAACGTCTGTAAATGCACGAGTGCACTGTGAAGCATTCCCTCCACTGTTGCTGTATTTTTTTTATCCTTTCGTCTTTAGCTTTCCTTAAAGAACTGTTTTACTTTCCCGGTGTTGTGATTTGCTCCTTTGCCTCTTGGATCATGATGCTTGACCTTCTCGCTCCTCCCCATCTAATTTTTCAGGAGAAACAAGACCCAAGCAGCACCTCTCTGCAGCTCCGTAATGAGATCCAGGTAGGCGAAGACACCTGCATAAGAGTAGCACTGAAATACAGTCAGATGTCATTGTTACCAAAAGTCTCACACGTGCCTCCACCCCCTTCCTTGTCTCTCTCTCCAGGAATCTTTAGGCTTCAGCAGCGAGGTGTCCACTCCTGAAACGGACAGAAAGTAAGTTTCCATTTTTGTCCCTGATAAAATGTGACTGTAGCAAGTGCGCATCTATGAAGTATGCTTGGATTGAGATGTCTGTCTGCTGCATTTCCAAACAATTTGCAGCCTGTGTCTGGCTCATATCAACCTGTGCATGCCTGCACACAAAATCACACTTTCTTCATGTCCACGGCTAAATATGGAGAGAAATACACACAGCTTCAGACATTATATGTGGAACCTTGGGGGGGTTTTTTGGGTTTTTTTTAAAAAGCGGAAGATGCTAGTTTACGTGTGCAGATTTGCTCTAATGATGGTAATAAAACATTACCCACTGACTATTTAGAAGGTCATTTTCAAGAGAGTTGAAAGTTAAGGAGCAATCTGCACTAATGGACGAAAAAGATGTAGTTGGTCTTCCATGCTTCTCTGCTCACATTGCTGCTGCAGTTAAAGGAAACCCAGTGACTGCTTCCTCTGGCTGACTCGCTTGGACCAGCAGCCATTCTCTATTCTCCAGGCCGTCTATACTTCCTTCCTGCCTTTGTGTTCTGCGATGTACAGGGGGGAAGACGGAGAGGGTGATGGCCAAAAGATTAGAGCAAAAGAGCATGAACGAAAGAGCAGGATGGAACTGGGCATGGGTGGGGTTCCTTTTTACTGGATCCTGTTACACAAAAGTATGTTCTTTTTTTGAATACCACTGTATTTTGCTTGCATAAAATTTCTAGGCCGTAGCCCACCATGAGGTGACTGTTATACAATGCTATGCAAATTTAAAGCGATCCAAGTTGGCCGAGGTTGGCTAAATAGCCTGATCGCGCACACACGGTCGCTTTATGGCCACGTATGTTTGATAAATGAGACGGAATGTTAATATATTTGTTTCCTCATGACGAGTTGTCTAGTAAAGACCTCGTTACAAAATAAGCTCCTCGGGCAGTGTTGGTCATTGGTAGTGATAAAGAAAACCCCCAAATTTTAGGAAAGTAATCAGCCCCGGTGGAGCTGCCGTCTTCACATGATGACCAGCGAAGTGCATACCGCAGACATGATCTCTATTCCCATGGCTTTATATGTTGCACAGACAAATGCAGTAGATGATGGGATCCAGATGCCAAAATGACGTCTCTCTACTGTTTGAAAGAGACCCTAAAAGAGCCCCTAACTGTACTATATTATCCAATTTCTTACTGTCAGTCTGGTTTTTTTCTCATGCGTTGCATGGTTTCTCTTTCCCTTACCATCACCAATAAATATATTCATATATATATGTGTCTGTGTGTGTGTATATATGTATATGTATATATGTATGTGTGTGTGTGTGTATAATATAACTTGTAAACCTACCATTCTCTGAGTTTTTATTCTTAAATTACAAAACTTCCCACATCGCACTTGTAATAACCCTCTTTGTTTTAATCTATCATTCACTGGCAGCCTGTCTGCTCCCACTCACCCCAGTTCTCTTCTCTATTAAGTTGTCCATTGTCCACTTTCCACCATGGTGAATGGATTTCAGGTGGAGTGATTTATCATGTGCAGGCAGACCGATAGGCATGCCCCGTGCATTCCTGGGACCCGATTCCTTACAGCCGCACAAAAGGCACGCTTGCACGTTCATGCGCACAAGCACGGGTACCCCACTGTCGCCTCTTTGCGGGACAATAGCAGGCAGATAAGATTTCCCAGTCTTCATCCAGGGGCTGGAGTCACCCTTCTTTTCCCTGTTTCTATGTCACTTTGTTGGCAAGACGTGGGCACAGCTCTGATTGTGCCGGATTTACAAGTGGTGTTGACAGAGAGCTCCCAGAAGGCTGAAAGGTTCAAGTTTGCAACATCCTGTTTTTGGAAGCTGATTGGTTGGTGGATATTGCTGTGCAGAATGGGCACCTTGCTTATCAGTGAGGTTAAAAAAAATGAGGTTTTAAAAAAAAAAGAAGAGGTAAATGGATTTTGATGAAAAGGCACATGCAGAAACAGAATATACGAATTGCCGGCTCCAAATGGGTTTGAAAATGGTAGTGCGCTTAGAGGCATCTGTGCTGCTGGAAAGCGCAATAATCAGATGGAAGAATCGGTTTCAGAACAACAGCACCACGTTGGAAAACTAAAGCACCTTGTCAGCACATTTACCTTGTGCTGGTGAATATTGTAGCCTTAAGTTGAACAAAGTAGACGGCAAGTTGAACGACAGGAAAGTGCGCTCGTAGTTGAAATCCGTGTACTTTTTCAGCTAAGCGCATAATTTTCTATTTTCCTGCCTTCCCTTTTGCGGTGACCTCTCTGACTCCCTAAAGAGGTCGTCCCTCTGTTCTTCCTGTGGACACTGCTACCGTCATACTGTCACCTCTCATTGTTTCGTCAAGAACACCGGGGATTGCTTTGCTCCAGGTGGCCAAGCTTGTAACCACACAAAAAACACAGTGTCTGTGTACAAACATGCGTCCATTCCCGTAATTTCACCTGAGCGCAGTACAAAAAAAATGGCAGTAAGATGCCATTAAACATGAGCTCACACAGCTGTGTTCAAATCTTCCCATGTGCTGGTTTATCATCATCTGCTCTAGACAGCACCTCTGTCACGCAGCATATGAGCTATATTACATATCTGCAGTAGTTTCGAAGCCCTGTACTGTAACACAAATGGTACTTGCAGCTTATCATTTTGAAAATTACTCACAAACATATCATTTTCGGAGCGCAAACCAAGCATTCACGCATAGTGAATATGGGCTTAAATAAGCAAACACATGGTAACTTTAATTTTCATATTGTACACACATCATGAGAAGCAACCTGTGCTTGTCCTGGACAGGTTCAACCCAAAGTAGAGATACTGTATGTTATACAGTACCTTTGTTAGCAGTTACATGCTCCCTTCTCACTGAAGAGAGGAGAATTGAAATAGGAAGGCATGCCAAAGACTTAAGGTTAAACCAATTAAGTTGCCTAGCCACACTATGCTGGGTTAACACACTTTTGGAAGACATTCAGGCTCCTTTAGCGAGCGGATGTGTGCGCGTGAGTGCATGTGTCTGTGCGCTGCATGGGAGGTTAATTTATAGAGCATGAAGGTGGGGTGGGGGCTGACGATGCCGCCACAGAAAAGCTTCTATTGAGGGAGTTCTTTTAGCATTAGCTTTGGCCCTAGCCTGTCTGGGAGGGGGAGCAGAGGAGTAAACCATACAGGCATCCATTCAATTAGCATCTCATTATGTTGCCATGGCAGCCAGGCTTTAAGCCGTGCAAAGATTTCCCGTTGCACCTAGACAAGGGCTACCATATTTGAACAAATGTACGTGGTCGCATGCGCGCGCATACAGGGCCGTGTACCAACTGGAGAGGAAAAGTGACCTGTTCATCTTGTTTTGATACCGTCACTCTCTTTCATGATGCTTCAGCGACAACCACCTGTCTTTGTGTGTGATTCAGCAGCTGTATGCACGTGCGCAGTTGGCTGAATTCACAGACGGGTGTGTGACGGTAAAAGAGCGAGACATGCCTTCAGAAGAGAGATTAGCTTAATAAGTCTCTTAAGTTATCAGCTGGATAAATTTAAAGTACTCTGTTCCCCCTGTGATTCATTTCCATTTAACTGAAAGAACAGCTTACAGTGTGCAGCCAGCACCACTCATTATCACTCCCACACTATTATACATCTAAACATACCTTTACAGTGTTGTCACAGGGCCTCTATTTTGCAAACTTTGCATGAAAACTCAATAACTCACAACTTTGAAGACAAAAATAGAGTTCTTGATGCGGTTTGTCAACTTCTGCATAACCAGGGAGTCAGCTGAGATCCAACATGCTGCTGAACTTTCGAGAAAATGGCGAGAGGTTGCTCATACATGGCTTTTTCATCAGAACACTGCAGTTCATGTTTTACTAGAGGCTTTTACTTCTTTTTTTTTTTGAGACAGATTTATGCGCACATTGGGGTATTTGTTTTTACTCACGCATTTTCCATTTCTATCTCTCTCTATGCCCTTAGTTTCAGTCTCCCATCTCTCTTCCTCGTGACTGTCTATCCTGTGGAGGGAAGTGGAAACACAAACAGGCTGAGTCTGCCCTGTGGTTTCTCCTCCTCCTCCTACCCCTTCTGTCTCCTTCTGTTTCTCTATTCCTCAGTTCCTTACTTTCCCTCTTCAATCTGCACACCACTGTTAAATGGTTGTTCTTCCATTCGTCTTGTTGACCTTCCTGCTTTCTGTACTGCTCCTAAACACTTCTGTATTACTGCCATCTTCATCTTACCCACTTGTTTTTGCAGCAGGGGTGTTGTTATCCACATCTCTTTTCCTCCCTCTCCCTCTCAAGCCTCAGGAGCCTGGTCTAAATCACTAGTCATCAAGTACCATCACTGACCCCAAGTGGTGGATACACGGAAATGCAGACCCACTCCCTGAACATTTATAATTGTCGCTGAGCATCAGTGTACTTTTTATGTGGTTCGCTGAGATTAGAAGAGACACTGTAAATTTTTCATTTTTTTTTTTAAACAGTGATATTTTTCTGTTTTCTTTCAGAATGTCTCTACACAAGTCCAGCTCTGAAGATGGATCTGGAGGTAAATAGATTTCAAGTCGATATACAA